GAAGAAGAAGAAGAAGAAGAAGAAGAAGAAGAAGAAGAAGAAGAAGAAGAAGAAGACGGCGAAGAAGAAGAAGACGACGAAGAAGACGAAGAAGAAGAAGAAGAAGAAGAAGAATAAGAAGAAGAAGAAGAAGAAGAAGAAGAAGAAGAAGACGAAGAAGACGAAGAAGACGACGAAGACGACGAAGACGAAGAAGAAGAAGAAGAAGAAGAAGAAGAAGAAGACAAGGAGGAAGAAGAGGAAGAGGAAGAGGAAGAGGAAGAAGAAGAAGAGGAAGAAGAAGGAAGAAGAAGAAGGAAGAAGAAGAAGGAAGAAGAAGAAGGAAGAAGAAGAAGGAAGAAGAATGAAGGAAGAAGAATGAAGAAGAAGAATGAAGAAGAAGAATGAAGAAGAAGAATGAAGAATTAAGAAGAAGAAGAATGAAGAAGAAGAAGAATGAAGAAGAAGAAGACTGAAGAAGAAGAAGAAGAAGAGGACAGGAGAAGAATGAAGAAGAGGACGAAGAAGAGAAGACGATAAACACAAGCTGGAACGGATATCATCTCTCCCTCGTCTTGCCTCCATCATATCTTCCCCATCATCTTATTGCAAACGAAATACAACAAAATCAACAACAAATAAAAGAGCCAAAACTAAATGGCCCCCTTACTGCCAGCAACATAAAGAGCCCTCATGTGACCTCCTACACCTCTCTTCTTCCTCCTTGGTATGACATCTGGCTATGGCGGCTCATCCAAGCCTGGCTCGGATGATCAGCGGACAATGCAAATCTTCCATGCCCTCTCCCACTTCAGCTGCCAGGCCTACTCTACCAGATGAGGTCCTCAACCCACCAGTGCCCCCTTCAGGTGCCTTCTAGATGGAGCGTTAACCTTGGAGATGACAGTGCAAGTCCACCATTATAGCCAACAAAGGTGAAATCTCCTTCTCAGTTCCCACCTCCTTTCTCGCTCCTTCTGCCTCCACTACTACTCCTGTGACGAGCGTGAGGCCGAGGGAGAGCCGAGGGAGAGGAGAGAGAGAGGGAGAGAGTGAGAGCACACACACACACTCACTCACTCGACACGACTGAGGGTCGGACGCAGACACAGTGGCAAGGGCACAAAGTCGAAGTCTTGGATTCCGAATGCCGGAACAGCAAGTCACACTGAGTACAAGTACAGCAGCTGAAAACTGGTACGAGACTGGTCCCCATACTGTACGGGGAGCAGGTACAAGTACCGGTGACACGTACGGTACCAGGGGCATTTCCGCAAAAGCCCCGACGACCGAACTGAAAAATGCGGTATTTGAAAGTGGCACCCGAATTGCAGCATGGCGCCAGTTGTCCGAAATCCGACGGTACCAAAGGAGGGGTTTGGAAAAAAGGGTGCCAGGCCGAAAACGGGATGTAGCAGAAACAGCAAAAAGATAGACCAGGGGTCGAGCCCTGCCGGAGTCCGTAACACTATCCCCTCCCTCTGAAAGGCAACGTCCTGGCTGCCAAAAAGCCAAGGAAACAAAAGGAGCTGTGAAGGACGGGATGGGGCCGATCACTGGTCGGAGAAGGAGAAGGGGAGTGATGCAAGTCACAGGGTATTCCGTCTGGTGTTCTGCACAGGTGAAGGTATGATGTAACTGGGTGGGTCTATAAAGGAAACTAAGCAATGTTCAGGGAACAGGGGATTTCTATTGATGTTCTACTGGGTAAGGGAAAACGATGTTCAGGAAAACAGGGAATTTCTATTGATGTTCTACTGGGTCAGGGAAACAATGGTCAGGGGAACAGGGAATTTCTATTGATGTTCTAGTGGGTAAGGGGAACAATGGTCAGGGGAACAGGGATCTGCTAATGATGTTCTACAGGGTTGTCAAAGTCAGGAAAAAAAAATAAAAATGAAAATGTTTGTTCAGGAGGCAAGGGCTGGTGTGTCCAAAGGAGTCAGATGAAACAGTATTCACCAGTTCGCAGTAGCTGATGCGGATCCCAGGGCTCAATCCCTAGTCCCCACCTTACCAATGTACACTACCTGTGTTGACCCGTAGAGTTGAACCTGCAACCTGTGTATTTGTAACAGTTGATAGGATGTCGTAGGGTTCATAGGTAGCATGGGTTCGATCTGTCGACCTGTCAGATAGGAGTCCCAGTCAGGTCTAGAGGTTGTAACTGTAGCCTTCTTGAAGAGTCAGGGTCGTAGCTGCTACAGTCTAGAAAGGTCAAAGTCGTAGCTGCTACAGGACCGAAAGGCCAAGTCTACAGCCTTCCGGAAGGTCTGAGTAGTGGCCTTTCGGAGTGTTCCATGCTTAGGCTGAGGCAAGTGGGCAAGTGGCGAGGCAAGTGGTGGAGTCTGCCCGTGCTGAGTCAGCAGTTCCAGTCCTAGGCAGTCTGGTCTAGTCAAGCAAGTACCGCATGGGACTGTGTGCACTTCGGGCATGGGAAAGGGCCAGACCAACGAGCTGCAGAAGTATAAATCAAGAGGCAGCGCCCA